TGTCCGACTGTCCATGTTAAATTGTAAGCACGCTACAGGTCGCAATTAAGCCCGATCCTCACCCAATTGAGAATGGAAGTGGGGTTAGGGTCAAAATAGAACCCTATTGATTTTGGAGATGATCGCAAAATATTGATAGAAGTTCTCGCACCGGCTAAAAACTTCTATATATAGAAGATTTTGTAGAGGCATTGCCTTTATAGAAACATCGTATATGCTTCCTATTCTTAGACGTCCTATCAAACTGTCAACTATTTATAGTTGATCTCGTATGACACCCTCTATTGATAGAAGTCCTTGTAAACTTCTTCTATAAAAAAAACTTCTTAAACCTGTTAATTTAGTGAACGATCAAAACAAAATCATTAAAGTAATCTAATTCTCAAAGACAAAATACAAACTTGCATTTCAAAAATATTAAAAACAAACGCCTAAGATCGGCCAGTTCGAACTTTTAATATCCTCCACCATTTGAAAAGAGCTTGAAATTTTCAAAAAAAAAAATGAAAACTGTTTCATGAGAGGTATACAAAGACGTGGACTTACATAAGTAATTTTCTGCCATTAACATTGGTTCCGATTCTGAAATTCAAATACGACCAGTAAAGAAAGTCTTAAAGTCAGGCGGGGCCGACTACCTTCTAGACTCAATTCGGTCGTATGTGCCAAATTCCATCCCATTTGGGCAAATATTAGACGTTTGGTGCACGATAAAAGGTAAATCGGACGAAGTTATATATGGGAGCTATATCCAAATCTGAACCGATCTCGATAAAATTTGGCAAATATATTTCTGAAATGTATTTGATATATTTCCCCAAATATTGTTGTTACAGAGGGCATAATACGGCTGCGGAGGACAAAAATAACATATCGGATGGACAATATATATGGGAGCTATAGCTATATCTGAGCCGATCTCGATCAAATTTGGCATACTTATTTTCAGGCCTAATTTGGTCGTATGTGCAAAATTCCATACTATTCGGGCCGATATTACACGTTTGGTGCACAATAAAAAGAAAATCGGACGAAGATATATATGGGAGTTATATCTAAATTTTTACCGATTATCTCCAATTTCAATAGGGTTCGTCCTTGGGCCAAACAAATGTTGCTTGCAAAATTTCATCTCAATCGGATAATAAGTGCGACCTGCATTTTGTTCACAAGAATACATGGACGGACGGACGGACGGACTGACATAAATCAACTCAGAAAGTGATTCTATGGAGATCCTCAAAAGTAACTATTTGTCTATTTGCTTCCTTCTCCATGTTACAAACAAATGAATATGACATAATGCCCTTACCACTATGTGGTGTAGGGTATAAAAATAAGAGAACGAACCTTTATATTTTAAAAGATTATTTAATAGACCTTATTTTAATGCGAAACCTTGTAAAGGTCCTCTATTTATATAAGACGACATAAAAAACTTTCATTTGTAGAAGTCTTCTGTGTCTATAAAATGAAGTTTTTTTGCTTTATACAGGGTGAGATAAAAAACTGCAACAATGTAAACGCCATAATTTTTACATTTTTTTATTTAAATTTTATTGTATGAAAGCAAAAAATGTCGAAAATAGCATCAAATTTTAGAATAAGTTTAGATTTGTTCGAATCGGTCACCTTTGGCATGAATTATGACCTTCCCGTCAAAGCGCTTGCTTGAGATAATCGACACTTTGGTATTTTTTAGTGCCAAACTTGCTTTCCAAAATACTCCAGACACAATAGTCCAACGGATTGGTATTCGGAGATTATGGTGGCCATTGTGCACTGAAAATGAAGCGAAAAACCTCATTTTGCAACCGTACTTGAGTGGGATGGTGCCGAGTCCTGTTGGAATGTCCAAGGTCTACTGCCAAAATGTTTGGGTGTCCGAAGCTTTAATACACCCTCCAGAATATTTTCGCGATAATATTCAGCATTTATTTTGCTGCCACGGTCGATTAATACGAGTGGCTGTTCACAATCACCATGGCCGCCCATCACAATCATCGTGGCCGCCGAAGGTGCACATTTTCAGCTGACCTCTTTGGCATGTAAACACGATCATTTTGTTTGTTTACGAACTGCTGGACAACGATTTTTTTCTCATCGCAGAAAACCACATTCGGCATTTCTCCACTTTCGGCCAAGCGAAACAACTGTTTAGCTCTTTTGAGTCTATTTTCTTTCTGTTGCGCTGTAAGTTCTTGCACTTTTCGGAATTTCTATGACTTTACCCCGAGCTCATTTTTCAATATTTGCCGAATGGAATATTGCGATGTTCAGCTCACGAGCCATATTTCGGCCACTGCAACGTAGGTTTCGATCAAGTCGTTTCTTTTGTTTTCGAAGCATTTCTGCTGATGTTGCTGTTTTCTTCCGTCCACATTCTTGATGTCGGGCTACGCTACCAGTATCACGGTAACGAACGACGGTACAAGGCCCAAAAAGTTTTTTCACATTTAAATGCTGGGGTGCTCTAACGATAGCCAATTGTGGTTTTCCAGCCAAATACAAAGAAATCACGCTATTACTCGTGAATTCTATCACGAATAACTTTTTTTCTGGAATATTCTGACCAAAATATTATTCTCATAATATTCTCACAATATAATGAGCTGTCACTGGAATAATTTTAACAGCTGACAGACAAGTGGTTTAGAAATTATAGCAGTCTGAGGTTGGTTGCAGTTATTTTATTTCACCCTGTAGAAGCCTTCGCCCAGGCTTAACATTTATAGAATAACACATATAAGTTTTTATACCTTACAACACTATATGTTGGGGGTATTATAAGTTTGATTGGGCCAAAAAATTATGTAACACCTCGAAATATTGGTTTCTCAAATAGGGACTCGCCGAGCTGAGTCGATCTAGCTATGTATGTCCGTCCGTCCGTCTGTCCATGTTAATTTGTAATCACTCTACAGGTCGCAATTATGGCCCGATCTTCACGAAATTTAGAATTGAGGTGGGGCTAGAACCAGAATAGAACCCTATTGCCTTTGGAGATGATCTCATAATATTTAGACCAAAAACTGAAAAATTTCCTGATTTTGCAGTTGCTCTACAGGCAATTATAGACCAATCGACGCGGAAGTTAGAATGGGCGTAGAGCTTATGGCTGGGCAGAAGCCTTCCAATTTTGATGGTCATTGGGTAATATTTAGTGGGTGAAATAGACCATAACATTAGTGTTAAACAATTGCCAAATTTTCTATTAAACAGCGAATATTTTTATTCCCGGCGAAATCACGAATCGACGAACAGGCCAATTCTGACCGTTTCGTAGATGCCGATAGTTAATATATCGGATATATATAGCGAAATATTTACAATGCGTATATACAAAGGAAGGGGATGTTAGCTAGAATGCTTATATCTCAAGAACGGCTGCACCGATTTTGTCAATTCAGAATGCCCTCTTGACATAAAAGTGTAAAATCTAAGCAAATCGCATAAAAAGACGCAAATAATGATGTTATTATAGATTTGTAGTATTTTGTGATATGTTTTTTATTTTTTCATAATTTTTATCGCATGCGATTTTTTCAATTTGATTTATAATATTGAAGTATACTATTTGTTATATTTTTTCACTTTACAACACAGGTTAGGGTTATTATATACAGATTGCAATTATCGTCCGATCCTCACGAACATTTTCACAAGGGAAAGGTTAGGCTCAGAAGGGCTAGGCCTGATGGTTTTAAAGATATCTGTAATATATTTAACAACAACTAAAGATGTTTCTGATTTTTTGAGGTCACAAATAGAAACCAAAGGACCCGAAATCTCACAAGAAGTTAGAGTTTACTACTACTTTTGTGTTAAAAATTCCCAACATTACTTACAGATGATATCCGAAATACACAAGAGGCGAAATTTTGGCTTTTTATGCTGATTTCGTTGACGAATATACCCAAATATCGTAGACAAGCAAATCATCTATACGAGTCTAAATTTGGAGATGGAGAGGGGTCTCTTGATTTTGGAGATGTTCGCAAAATATTTAGGGATTCAAATGAACCAAAAACAGAAAAAATGTCCCGATCAAACAATTAAAGCCAATCGACAAGCCTAATAAGAGAGTTAAGAACAGGAAGAATTCTGGCATTTTGGATGATCATTGGATTATATTTAGCTCTTAAATAGACAACAACAAATAACAGCACGACGGAGTGCATGTGCATAAATATTGGTCAAATGTACCTGGTCAAAATGCTGAGGGTAATATCTGGGCAGTGTTCCGTGACATAATTTCAAAAGAAAAAACTTCTAAAATGGATTTGAACATAAGGGGGCTTCTAACCTATTGTAGTGTTGTAGGATATCGCAAGGTCGATCCCGCACGACTATAACCTTTGCTTACTTGTTCATTTATAGAAGTCTTTGTAGAGGCATTGACTTTATACAAACTTCATATATGGTTCCTATTCTTAGATCTCCTTTTAAATGGTCAACTATTTTTAGTAGATCTCTTATGACAACCTCTATTCATAGAAGTCCTTGTAAACTATTTCTATAAATAAAACTATCAAAATAACTGTTAAATTGCTGAACGATAAAAACAAAATTTTGATTTGCGTCTAAAAACAAATCGCTAAAGTAATCTAATTCTCAGAGACACAAAATACAAACTTGCACTTGGAAAAAATCAGTGATACCATCATGAGATATGATATAGTTTGTGGTTGTCTTCTAATACTGAGCACTTCCATCCATTTAACTGTGCTAATAGTTCGAAATCAAATTGTTTTCATTTTAGTTTTCCAAACGTCTTAAATTTCAAATCCAATTGAGAATATTTTATGACATCACAGTTTTGTTTTGGCATTTTTGAGATTAATTCTCAGTGTAAACAAAACAATACACATTTAAATGATAAGGAAAAATATTGTGATTTCATAGAATTGAGAACAACGCAGCAGATTATCAGCTAATAATTTAGTACAGTACGAAAACAAAACTAAAGAATTGATATTTCTAGTGAACCGAGCTGAGAAACACAGACTCAGTTTGATTTTAGACCTTCGACGAGTTAGAACTTAGAACGGAAATAATTTTGCAGCGTTTTAAATTTGATACGAAATAGAAAATAAGTAGACAATGAAACTAATAAAAATATTTTCCATTATTTGTATAACACTTTTACAAATATGCGTTGTTTGGGGAGCCAATATGGTTTGCTATTTGGATACGAGTCGGGTAACAGATGGTAAGGCACAAACCATAAGAAATTTTGAATATTTTTCTAATTTTTTTTTAATTTGGTTTTCTTCTTTCAGTCCAACAAACCATTACCGAAATCGATCCCGCAATGCAATTCTGCAATTATCTCATCTACGGCTATGCCGGTGTCAATTCGGAAACATTTCAGCTGAAAAACCTTGATCGTGGTCTCAACTTTGACCTGTATCATGCAGTGACTGCACTGAAACGCAAACATCCCCATTTACGGGTTCTCTTATCAGTTGGCGGAGATCGTGACATACCCTCCGATTTGGATGAGCCAAACAAATATTTAATGCTATTGGAAAACATTGCCCATCGCAATGCCTTCATCAACAGTGCCCAGAGTTATGTCAGTACGTACGGGTTTGATGGCCTTGACTTGGCATGGCAATTTCCGAAAAATCACCCCAAAGAATTCCACTCGGGTATTCGCAGGGCTTGGCATAAAGTAAAGGGGTGGTTTAAGAGCAAAAAGGTCGTTGATGAAAAGGCGGAGGAGCATAAGGAGCAATTTGTAACCTTCTTACGGGAGCTGCAGCAGAGTTTGTCATCGAAGGGAGCAATGTTGACACTAACCATGCTGCCACATGTTAGTGCTGAGCGTAAGTAGAATTTAATATTTTATTTATTTCTTTTTTTAGAGGAGATCAAGATACCTAATTTCGTACAAATTTAGTAAATCTTGGTCCAATCCATATTTTGGGTTATAAACGCGATTTTGTACAAAATACTAAAAAAGAAAGGTCCAAAGTCAGGCGGGTCGACTTTAAGATACCCTAAACCACTATGCTTATTAAGTAGAGCTAGCCGTAATAAATAAAAGTTCATATAGGGATTTTATGTGGAGAAGTTCATACCGACTATGATCGTGTTTGAATGCGTATTATGGCTTTGGAGCAATCATAATTTAAAACCGAAAGGAAGTAATTCATGGGAGGCATATCCTACTTTAAATCAATTTCCAGTAAATTTGACGGTGGTATTTGTGTCTGAACTGATTTTCACCAAAATTCATCCTATTTGAGATGATATTACACGTTTGGTGTACAAGAAACTTTGGAACTATATAAACCGACCTCTATAGAACTTAGCAGTGGTATTTCAATGTTGTACGTGTTAACTGGCGCCAAATTGAGACTTACACATCCGAATCTCTGAGGAGACAGTTTTTACAGTTTGGTATAATTCGCATATATACATACCTTAAAATTTCGAATACTTTAAAAAGAGTTAATGAATCTTTTGACTTCCATCCAACTCAAGCTAAATATTTCGTCTGATTTGACCTTGGGCTACTACTTCCGATTGTAAACAATCTAGGGTATCTGAAAAATTCATAACTGTTCGTAAAAGGATCCATCTAACGGTATAGTTAAGGTGAACTCATTTCAGAAGCCTATCTTGCGATATCCGTCTGCCTGGTCAAAATTGAAGCATTTTAATAATTCTCTTTCACATCAATTGGGTCAGAAGAGAGACAATATCGGTCAATTCTTTCTGGTATCTCCGCAACACAGGTTAACATTTTTGGAATAATCAGTTTTGGTTAAACTTAACTCATAGTGGCAATATTATTTCGCTGCCAGATTCGACGAGAATGCATTGATGAGGGAACCTACTCTGAAATCAACCTTGTTGTCATTCCTCTCCTTTCCATTACGTGCTTTTTGAAAAATTCCGTTATTATGTCCCGTTCTAGGATCACCTGTTTCTTAAAAAAGCCAGCACATTTTGCTTTCCTCACGTATAAAATATCGGGCTGTGAAAATATAAGTTTCTTTGTTGTATAGCGTGATGAGAAGCCAGTTGTTGATTGCAATCTGTCAGTTATGGACCTTGACATTATATCCTATCCTATATGAAAACACCTTTTCCTCACTACTTCTTTGCTCTTCTCTGCCGAACCACAGAACCTCCCGGGGTATAGGGTATTTTGATGATTTTAGTCATATTTTGCTACAGAATCAATCCAAATTTAGTATTGAGAATTCCTAACGGCTTCTACCTCTGGTCTGAACAGAGTTTCTGTAGAAGTGATACCATAGAAGGAAAATGACCGAATCCCTTAGATATTGGGACATATCATTAGTCTGCTTTAAAATAATTTTAAAACATCTCCAAAAACAATTGGCTTTTAATAAACATCAAATAAGGATGTTTCAGTCGGTTTTACGAACTTTGTCCAACTTTGTTCTGTTAATGATAGCACAAACATTGCATTAAGGAAAATCTGAAATTGATTTCATAGATGTCATAAACTTCTCACTACAAAAAAAAAAAAAAAAAAAAAAAAAAAAAAAAAAAAAACAGGTAAACAAAAATTAAGTTCGGTTGGACCGAACTTCAAATTTGGTCCCGGTCAGTCAAATGGAAGTACAGACATAAGCACGTAAAGACGGGCATGACTAGATCGACTTCACATACCATAAAACGGATATTTGATGTGGTTAAAATTAACAAAAATTTGACTTCAGTGTCCAAAAAACAGAACGACTGCTTCTTTGAACTCTTGATGGAAGTTTGGTAAATACTCACTTCCTATGTTAATGTTCATGCTAAACAAGTAAAAAAGTATCGGTCGGTTTTGCCGACAGATGTATACCCTCAGCCCTATTTACCCTCTATGGAGTGGGTTTTGAAAGAATCGTTCAATATTGTCCATTTCGTATCCCACCTAAATAAATATGATTTAAATATTATTATATATAAAACTAATTATATAAAAAAATGAATTATAGTAGATGGATATAGCAATTGTAAAGAATCGCTGAGTTGCTTCGCCATTTATCATAGATGAAAATATTGAAAATTGTGTCCCTTTGTGGGTGAAGTGCCAGAAGGTGTTCTAAGATATATAGCATCTTCACAACAGATCTGGTGTTAGCAAAAATTATTGTATGTGTGAAATTTGAAGAGAGTTGGATCCTTATTTCGCTTTCTTTGAGTGTTATGTTTTTCAAAATTAGATTATTGCTTCCCTTTCTGTGCAGAAAAAATATATTTTTTAAACTTTCGACCATTTGTGGGGGAGGTAACTTGAAGACAATCGAACTCTTAAATCACATTTTATGAGAGTTGTAATTATTCAAAATGTTGACCATTTGTGGGGGAGATACTTGAAGGCCTGAACCGATACTGTCCAATTTGGGACCAGACCTAGCACTGATGCAAATATTAGGATTTGCAAAGTTGGACCAAAATCGGATCATCATTTCTCTTCCTGTGCAAAAAATATATGATTTGCAAATTTCGACCTTTTGTGGGGAGGTACCAAAAGGAGTGGACCGATATTGCTCATCTTAACACCAGACCTTGGGTTAATATAAATATTGGGATGTGTAAAATTTGAAGACAATGGGACTCTTAAATCACATTTTATGAGAGTTGTAATTATTCAAAATTTTGACCATTTGTGGGGGAGGTACTTGATGGAGTGGACCGATATAGTCCATTTTCACACCTGACCTAGCACTGATGCAAATATTAGGATTTGCAAAATTTGGAGCAAAATCGGATTTTCCCTTCTCTTTCTGTGCAAAGAATAAATTTTTTGCAAATTTCGACATTTTGTGGGGAGGTACCAGAAGGAGTGGACCGATATTGCCCATCTTCGAACTCGATCTAAGTTTGACAAAAATATTACGATGTACCAAGTTTGGACCAAATCGGATACTCCCTTCGAGAGTTATGGCCAGACAGACGGACGGACGGACGGACATCGCTAGATCGACTCCAAATGTTCTGAAACGGATTTGGTCCAAAGAGACCTAGGGTCTAAAACCATTATTTCGACTAGGCACGTTTTGACCGTATCAAATGATATATACCCTCTGTAGCCATATGGCTGAGGGTATAAAAAAGGTGTTAGAATGCTGTTCATACCCTACACCACAAGATGGTCAGGTTATTATGTCTTTGTGCATTTGTTTGTAACAGCCAAAAGGAAACGAGATAGACCCATAGTTCCTTTTGATGATCTGCATAAAATCACATTCTGAGTTGATTTATGCATGTCCGTCCGACCGTCTGTTCGACGCCTGTCTGTTCATATATTATTGTAAACAAAGTACAGTTCGCATTTATATCCCTATCCAGATGAAATTTTGCACAAATCACTTGTTTGGCCCAAGGACGAACCCTATTGAAAATGGAGATAATCGGTCAAAATTTAGATATAGCTCCCATATATATCTTCGTCCGATTTGCCTTTTATTGTGCACCAAACGTGTAATATCAGCCCGAATGGTATGGAATTTTGCACATACAGCCGAATTAGGCCTGAAAATAAGTATGTCAAATTTGATTGAAATCGGTTCAGATATAGCTATAGCTCCCATATATATTGTTCATCCGATTTGTTATTTTAGTCCTCCGCAGCCGTAATATGCACTCTGTAACAACAATATTTGGGGAAATATATCAAATACAGCTCAAAAATACATTTGCTAAATTTTATCGAGATCGGTTCAGATTTGGATATAGCTCCCATATATAACTTTGTCTGATTTACGTTTTATTGTGCACCAAACGTCTAATATTTGTCTTACGACCGAATTGAGTCTAGAAGCTAGTATGTCAAATTTTGTGAAGATCGGTTCAAATATAGCTACAGCTCCTCCGCAGCCGTAATATGCACTCCGTAACAACGATATTCAGGGAAATATATCAAATACCGCTCAGAGATATCTTTGCCAAATTTTATCGAGATCGGTTCCGATTTGGATATAGCTCCCATATATATATTTATCTGATTTCAAATTAATTATGCACCAAATGGGCAACACAAGTCCGAATTTAAAAGATACAAATGCTTCGGCATATTTAGTACTTTGAACTTTAAATTGTAATGAATAATGTATGATTGAATTATCCCATAAAAATTTTTAATTTTTATGCGGAGCTCTACTAAATTAGTAAAGTGTGTAGGGTGTCATAAAGTCGGCCCCGCCCGACTTTAAGACTTTCTTTACTGGTTTCTAAGTAGTAACTGTTTGCCAAAATGTACGTAATTATTTGATACTCGAATAATTGTCGATTTTTATTTATTAATGACCGCTACTCGAAGACTGTCCGCTATGATGGCGTCTGAGGCGTCCATGTGGGCACTGTTGCTATTAAAATTATGATGTTTTTTTATTGAAAGAGGGGCTTCTAGAGGACATTTTTCCTGGAGAAGAGTGATTCAAGGGCTTTATGTGAGAAAAGATTCGATACATTCTTATTTGCACTAAGTTTCGGTTAAACTTTAAAAAGTTGAAAATCGGCCTGCTTTTCATGGAATACATATTCGTGATGCAGACAATAATTTAGGACAATTATTTGTTCCTTCTTATTTTCGGAAATTTTAAATTAAACTGACCTTGAGTTATGGAATATTAAACATTGCTAGACATCTTGCGGAAAAATTATTAAAATATTCCCCAAATGTTATTTACTACCTCTTTATTTATGTTCCATTCTATCTCTCATTCCAGTATTCATCGATATACCGCAAGTGATGCCATATTTGGACTTTGTCACCCTATCGACTTTTGATTTCCTCACACCGTTTAGAGATCCCAAGATTGCTGATTACACTGCTTCCATCTATCCGCTGTACGAACGTGATCCTGCTCAAAGTGCCGATTATCAGATACAATATTGGCTCAATAACACTTCGCAAATGGGCAAACTTGTTATGGGTGTCCCAGCCTATGGCAGAGTTTGGGTTATGGATAAAGATTCGGGTATTACTGGTTATCCACCCATACATGCTGCGGGTGCTGCACCGGCGGGTAATTTGACAGAGACTCCAGGATTTCTTAGCTATCCGGAAATATGTGTAAAATTGCATAAAAATCGTGATTTAAAGGGTGATGCTGCTCCCGTTTTCAAGGTGGGAGATCCTACCAAGCGTTTTGGCACCTATGCCTATCGGGATGCCGATGATAATGGTGAATATGGTCTGTGGATATCGTACGAGGAGCCGGCCACGGCGGCGAATAAGGCCAGTTATGCTCATGTGAGAGATCTGGGTGGAGTGGCATTATTCGATTTGACCACCGATGATAAGTTGGGCGTTTGTGGTGAGGGCAAATATCCCATTTTGAGAAGCATTAAATTTAAGTTGTAAATGAAACTCAAGGGAGTGAGATGATTTTTTAATGTAATGTTATTAATATAAATAAATGGAACCAATTTTATGAAAAATAAGACCTGCTGAGTTTCTTTGTCAAAGGAAATTAATCTTCCGGTTTGAGGAGCAACAAAAAAATGGTAAATTAATTTGAGTGACTAAAAAAAAGGAAGAAAAATCTTCGTTTACAAAAATGACAATCAGCTCACACCACGCCACAATGACGCGTGTAATTAGTCTTCATCATTGAGGTTGAAAGCAAAAATAAGCGCCTTAAACGTCATTGTCGTCAAGACAGAGAGAGAAGATAATCAGAAGAAGACGTAGAAGCAGAACATCACGACACTCTGCTCCGCATATTAATCCATTAAAACAAACGAAGATCTTTCCGATCCTTATCGTATTAATTGTTTAACTGAACGAATTGAAGAAAACAAAAAAAGGATGACTGATCCAATGCATGGATGAATGAATTAATCTTGTCTGTCTATACGAGCAGTACAACCACTCCACATTGAATGAGTAATTCCTTGTCTGTGGCGAAATGTATCAATCACTCACTCAATTAGTCAATCAGAATGTCGGGCAAGCAATCCTTTATTTTTTTGGGATCTCTTTTTAATTGAAGTCGAAACAAAGAGAGGATATTAAGTAATTAAAGTCGGAAGATTTTTCAATTTTTTGTTAAAACAAAATATATGTTTTGTAAAATTATTGAATAATTGAGACAACTTTGTCAATGTGACATGGAGATATAGAAAAAGTCGAACCATATTAATCAGTATGAGTAATAGAATGGATTTGGAGTTATCAAGTATAGTTACTACTGAATAAATTGCTAAGACATCAAATACGAAAATTTTAAATTTTGGCTACGGAGACGAGCAATTTTTTTGATTCGGCTCCGACTTGACTCTGGAGTTGATCTAATTACAGGGTGAGATAAAAAAACTGCAACAAAGTCAAAGGATATTAATTTTACATTTTCTAAATTTTATTGAATGAAATCAAACCAGTAAAGAAAGTCCTAAAGTCGGGCGGGACGATTTTATGATACCCTACACCACTTTGCTAATTTAGTTGAGCTCTACATAACAAGTAAAAGTTCTTATGGGAGAATTCAATCATACACCCTATGATTATAATTATAATTTAAAATTTAAAGGACTAAATACGCCGAAGCATTTGTATCTTTTAAATTCGGACTTGTATTGCCCATTTGGTGCACAATTTATTTGAAATCAGATAAAGATATATATGGGAGCTATATCCAAATCGGTAAACCGATCTCGATAAAATTTGGCAAAGATATCTCTGAGCTGTATTTGATATATTTCCCTGAATATCGTTGTTACAGAGTGCATATTACGGCTGTGGGTAACAAATACAACAAATCGGATGAACAATATATATGGGAGCTATATCCAAATCTGAACCGATCTCGATAAAATTTAGCATAGGTATTTCTGAGCTGCATTTGATATATTTCCCCAAATATTGTTGTTACAGAGTGCATATTACGGCTGCGGAGGACAAAAATAACAAATCGGATGAACAATATATATGGGAGCTATAGCTATATCTGAACCGATTTCCATCAAATTTGGCATGCTTATTTTTAGGCCTAATTTGGTTGTATGTGCAAAATTCCATACTATTCGGGCTGATATTACACGTTTGGTGCACAATAAAAGGCAAATCGGACGAAGATATATATGGGAGCTATATCTAAATTTTTACCGATTATCTCCAATTTCAATAGGGTTCGTCCTTGGGCCAAACAAATGTTGTGTGGAAAATTTCATCTTAATCGGATAATAAATGCGACCTGCATTTTGTTCACAAAAATACATGGACAGACGGACGGACGGACAGACCGACTGACATGCATAAATCGACTCAGAAAGTGATTCTATGCAGATCATCAAAAGGAACTATGGGTCTATCTCGTTTCCTTTTGCCTGTTACAAACAAATGCACAAAGACATAATACCCTGACCACCTTGTGGTGTAGGAAATAGCATCACATTTTAGAATAAGTTTAGATTTGTTCGAATTGGTCACTTTTGGCACGAATTATGGCCTTCAAACGGCCAATGAAACCATCGCACGCTGCCCGAATGCTGCTCTGCGGTATTTTAGCCCATTCCCGGCGAAGCGCTTGCTTGAGGTGATCGACACTTTGGTATTTTCTATGTCGATTTACAATGTCCGTCCGTCTGTCCATCTATCCGTCTGTGGAAATTGCTCTAGCTTCCGAACAATATGAAGTAAGTTGATAAAAATTAACTCAAATGTGTATTATGTCTGCGGGACCTTTGATATTGAAAATGCGCCATGTAGCCCCCCACGATACCTCCAGGTATGCGGTATTTTGACGATTTTAGCGACATTATTTACCGAAGTTGTTTCAAAATTATACGAATACTACAGCCTAGGACGGAAAATAGACCATGTAGGTCCACGTCTTCGTATAGCCCCAATATAACGGTACCTCCCGATATTGGGTATTTTGATGATTTTAGGGACATTATTTACAGGAATTGTTTCAAATTTGGGATTTGAAATTCGTAATGGATACTACAGCCTATGACAGAAAATTGTCTGTGCAGGTCCAAGACTTCGTTTTGCCCCCATATAACGATGCCACCGACATTCGGTATTTTGATGATTTTAGCGACATTATGTACCGGAATTATTTCAAAATTTGTATTTGAAATTCGTAATGGATACTACAGCCTGTGCCAGAAAATTGTCTGTGCAGGTACACGTTTTATAACCCCATTGGTTCCTTCCTATATTCGGTATTTTGGTGATTTTAGCTACATTATAAACTGATTTTTTTTTTTCAAGTTTCGCAATTTAAATATTGTAATAGCTTATGACAAAAGTTGCTTATGCAGGTCCACGTCGTCGTATAGACCCCAATACAAGGCTACATTCGTTATTTTTAAGATTTTAACAGGATTTTTAACGGATTTTATTTTTTTGAAAAATGCCAAATTTGTACGAAATGTTGAAGGGTATACAAAGGGTGTACTTGCCAGTGCTAACCTTGCGTTCTACAATACTCCAGACACAATAGTACAACGCTGAAAAATGAAGCGAGGAACCTCATTTTGTAACTATTCTTGGGTGGCGCGTGCTGAGTGCGATGGTACTAAATCCTGTGGCAATGTCCAAGCCCTGCGGCCAAAATGTTTGGGTGCCCAAGGTTTTAATACACCCTCCAGAACATTTTCGCTATAATATTCAGCATTTATTCTGATGTCACGGTCGATTATTACGAGCGGAGAGTGACCATCGGCTGTTATGGCGGCCCATACCATTACTATTGCAGGCTTTTGATTTCTGGTGGCCAACCGAAGATGCACATTTTCAGCTGACCTCTTTGGCAAGCGTACACGATCATTTTGTTTGTTTACAAACTGCTGGACAACGAATGTTTTCTCATCGGAGAAAACCAAATTCGGCAGTTCACCACTTTCGGCCAAGCGAAGCAACTCTTTAGCTCTTTTCAGTCAATTTTCTTTCCGTTGCGGTGTAAGTTCTTGCATTTTTTTGGAATTTCAATGGCTTTGTCAATATTTGCCGAATGGAATATTGCGATATGTTCAGCTCATGAGCCAGATTTTGGCCACTGCGACGCGGGTTTCGATCAAGTCACTTCTTTACTTTTCAAAGCATTTCTGCTGATGCTGCTGTTTTCTTCCGTCCACTTCCGTGACGTCGGGCGTAGCGTAGCCCGAACACGCAGTAACACGATTTATAAGTATGGTGACATTATCGTCCGCACGGAACATTTTAATCCTTTAAACCTTTAATTATGCTGAAGATAGGACAGTCCACATACCAAGAACAATTTAATAAGTATAAGTCGGTTTTGCAGACGTATGCATCTGTCTCAGCCTATGTCAGTTTATTATACCCTCGGCCATATGGCTAGAGGGGTATATATCATATACGGCCAAAACGTTCCTCATCCAAAAAATAGTCTTATACCCTAGGTCTCTTTGGACAAAATCTATTTCAGGACATTTAAAGTCGATCTAGCTAGTCTGTTCGCCCATCTGATGGTTGGTTCGAACGATAACTCTTAAAGGGAATATCCGATTTGATTCAAACTTGAAACTTTGTAATAATATTATCAAACTTATATCGAGTTCGGAGATGGACAATATCGCTCCACTCCTTCTGCTACATCCCCCACAAAAGTTCGAAATTTTCAAAAAAAATTTTACTGCACAGAAACAGAAAGGATAATTCGATTTTGCTCCAACTTTGCAAATCTTAATATTTGCATCATTGCTAGGTCAGATGCAGAGATGATTTGTTTGACGATTTTTTGGGTTTTCGACTGTCGAAAAGTTGTAAATGTCATATACGTGTATAAAACGTAGAAAAAGTATGAAACGTCATAAACTTCTAAAATACTGTAACATCCCACATAATACATCCCAAGTTGGTTGATAAACGCTTAGGCCGTATTATTGAAATCTCGCTGATCTTAATGAGGATAGTTTCCTTGTGTAAATCTTCCAAATCAGGAAAGTTACTTCAGAGAGCTTAAAACCTGAGGCTGGCGTTTTGTTCCAAAGACGTAAAATTGTAAAGATTGAACAAAATGCATATTGCCGTTTAACGTCTCGATCAGGCAATATATGGGCGACAACATGGCAAAAATGCATTAGAAAATTTACAGAAATATATTATTCCGATATCGCGAAAAATGGCGTTAAGCTGTGGATAAAATCAACATATATGATAAATATGGTCTCAAATATGTATATATGTTATGTTACGATATGGTGTCATAACATATTTTTCCACTACCAACGCCATCTATTGCATCAATGCAAGAATGAAATGTCCCATCTTATAATATGCCTTTATATTCAACCACCACGTTGCTATCAAAAGCTCTTATTATTTGTCTAGGTTTACGACTTTTTCGACGTATGTATGATACGTTAGAGCTGTCAAACTATCGAAAGCACTATCGATAGTATCGATAGTTTATTTTTTTTAGTGAATATCGATAGTTTTTAATCACTATCGATAGTATCGGCAAAATGTCATCACTTACGCGTATGTTGTGACGCTGCGACTTTTTGGGTAAGAGAAATAAACAACAGCTAAGTAATAATTATATTTAAGTTGACGGTTCTACAAATCATGGAGAAGTTCCTGAAAAGATCAAAAAGTAAGATTTAATTTATGACCTGTTCGTTATTTGTGTGTATTAACATTTTATTAACAACGTATATAGCAGACTCAGCCAGCAAAGAAAATGTAATTGATATTGGCAATATCAACAGTGGTAGTGAATCTGATATTGGATTTGAAAAAATAAGAACAAGAAAGATGTCATCAGAAGCATGGGCCTTTTTTGAAAAAACGAAAGATGGAAAACATGCTAAATGTCGTGTATGTTCCCAAACATATAAAACCAGCGGCAACACATCAAACCTTTTCGACCATCTCAAACGAGCTCACCCGACTTTCCGAGAATTGCTAAAACCAGCAAATACTATCAAACCCTTTCTTAAAAACGTTGAAACGTATGCAAATACCTCGGAACGTAAACAAGCAATTGACAGTGCCTTAATGGGTATGATTGCTTCCGATGTCCAGCCATTCAGCATTGTCAATGACAAGGGTTTTCAGAAATTTATAAAATGTTTAGACCCTCGCTACGAATTGCCATCTCGTAATACTTTACAAAATGTGCATATGGCAAATTTGCACAAAAAAATCAAAGATAAATTGCAAGATATTCTTAATGAAGTCGATTACTGCTCAATTACTACGGACTGTTGGACATCTCGTGCAAATGAAGGTTATTTAACTGTCACGTGTCACTTCATCACGAATGAATTCACCTTACGTTCAGCTGTTTTATCAACAAAAAAACTTCTAGTGGCCACTAATCACGGTTCAGATAATATTGCATCTTCGTTGCGTGCTGTTTTCAACGAATGGGGTATTATGGAGAAGGTCGTGTGCGTTGTTACAGATAATGACAGCACTATGATTAAAGCATGTGAGCTGCTACAGAAACGTCATCTTCCATGCTATGCGCACACAATAAACCTTTTGGTTCAAGACTGTTTAAACCAAACATTTATAAAAGAAAATGTTTTAGCAAAGTGTAAACGAATCGTGACATTTTTTAAGTCCAGCACAATCGCATATCAAAAGTTTAAGGACATACAAGCGACAGTTAAACCGTATAGTCTGCTGCAGGAGGTGCCCACACGTTGGAATAGCGCATACAGGATGATTGAGAGAATATTGCTTACAAATGACTTTATTTCAACTGTACTATTAGCAACATCAAAAGCTCCATCACCTCTGACTGCAGATGAAATTGACTTCTTGAAGGATCTTAAAGAAATTCTATCGCCCTTTGAAAATGCCACCGTACAGACGTCATTGAGTTCATCTGTATCAGTTTCCTTAATAATACCATTAACATGTGGCCTCTTCCAAAGTCTTCAAGAGCTAAAAGGAAAAATGAAGACACCAGAAGGACTCCAAGCGTGCCTATTCTTAATCGAGCGGATAAAGAAGCGTTTATTTCCTTATGAGGACCGAACGGCAACAAGATTAGGCACATTATTAGATCCACGGTTTAAAAAAGAAGGATTCCGATCTGTGTTTAATGCAGATCAAGCATCAAAAGTCCTAGAAAATGAAATGGCTGCTATATGTAAGGGGCATTCTTCAACTGTAGAACCGTCAACTTCACGAAGCATGAACAATGAACCACAACAGCCACTCCTTAATTTTATGAAAAGTAAAATAGCTAACAAAGTAAGAACAAGCCGAGTTGATGCAATAGTCTATACTCGACAGTATTTTGAAAATGAAAATGCTCCGACAGAAAGTGATTCACTGGAATATTGGAGAGTAAGAATGATGATTTAACTACATAACATATTAACGTAACATTATTTTTACAGTATAATGCCAATGACATGTCTTCACTTAAAATATGTGCGACACGTTATTTATGTATTCCAGCCACTTCAACCGAATCGGAAAGGATGTTCAGCAAAGCTGGCTTAATAATTTCAGAGAGAAGAACTTGCCTAAAATCCAAAAATGTAGACATTCTTCTTTTTTTAAACAAAAATGACTGGATTACCCAATAATTTTCACATAGAAAATAGTATATGCTTCGATACCAATATTAGTCTTAAAGAACACAATTTTTTCAATTGTATTGAAATTGAAAATCAACGTATCTTTTTTGGATTTCAAAATTTTTATTTAAATAAGATAGTCGTTCAAAAGTTTGTTTTTATGTTCCAAAAAATGTTTCATTAAAGCGATAATGAATTCAAAAAATTTTATTTTAATTGGAACTTAAAAAAAATTTAAATTAATATTTAAAAATATTTATTTTTAATAGAACGTATTTTAATTTTAAATGTAATTTTATGGATTCGCCTTAAAGCACTATATATAGTTCATTCAATGATCTCATGAATTTACTAAGTCATTGCTATTAGCGCTTTTGTTTTTTCCTTTTTATATTCTTGAATAAAAATGTTATTTTGTTGTTTAAAATATATTGGTAATTTGTTCTTCAGGAAAAATAATACTGATTTGTAGATAATCAGTAAACATGATTTAATCATATAGCCTTCCCGGTCAACTTTAACCGGTCCTATACCGTTGAAAGAATGTTACGAATTCGAATCTGTCCATCTGTTTCTTGTATGTCTTACAAAATATCCCTCCCCATATTAGGCTCGCCTCTATACAAAATATCCCTCCCAATATTAGGCTCCGGGGCTCGAAAAACTCCATATGACTTTAGATAATAGTCGAATTCGTCATGCTGCACTAACCAGGCGAGAAATGCAATATTCAGTCCAATTATGAATAAAAATTCCTAATGAAAAAAATTATTTGAAAAATTGAGTTGGAAAATTGGAAATTGAATTGGTGAATTGTTCTTGAGGATTTTTTAAAGGGAGAAATTTTTATTCATAATTGCGCTGGTTACATATCCGATACTATCGATAGTTTTACAACAAACTATCGAAACTATTGAATGGGACGAATATCGATAGTTTGACAGCTCTATGATACGTCGGAAAAGTATGTAATATACGTCAGAATTTCTGACAGACCATCTATGGTCAGGTGAGAAAATGGACAATATCGGTCCACTCCATCAAGTACCTCACCCACAAAGTATCACAATTTTGAATAATTATAATTCTTAAAAAATGTGATGTAACAGCCCGATCTTCAAACTACACACACAATAATTTATTTTTGTTAACCCACGGTCTTGTGTGAAGATGGAATATATCGGTTCACTTCTTCTGGTACCTCCGCCACAAAGGGTGAAAATTTTGAATGCCCCTGACGATCACAAAACGCTCAATTCACATCCGATTCCATTTATACTTGGTACATTTCCATATTTCCATTAACACAATATATGTTTAAGTTATGGTAGAGAGCGGGCCACACCAACTGGTACCTCCCCCCCAACGGGTTAATATTTTGGAAGAATCATATTTGTCATAAAAGGCGAAATAAACATCCGATTCTCTTAAACTTAACACAAGATCTAGTGTTAAGATGAGATATATAGATCTACTCCTTGTGGTACCTCCCCCACAGAGTCTAAAGAGTCCTAGGGTCCAAAATCATTATTCGATAAGTCAAATGCAAAGATTCCGTAGAATCCTTATTTTTTTAAATCTAAAAATGAGCAGAACATCCGTGCCCATTTTTTTTACGTCGCGATGCAAAGTTTAAAACACCGATCCACGTGTCTTATATTTTTAGTTCTACTTTCATAATGGAAGGACCGAAACTGATATTTATTTCGCCAAAGTGGAATCGAGTCTAAATCCGTTCTAAATCCAACACATTCAAGGTTTTTTATTAAACATTCACCATTTTTATGATTGATTTTTAATGGCTGAACCCAAAAAAAAAGAAAAAAAAAATAAATAAATAATTATTTCGCAATATATTCTCATCCATTTGATTTTTCAAGAATAGGAATTTTCAATTTTTTTCTAGGGTCGATAAATCCTAATTAAAATAAAAAAATCACTTAAAACTAGCAATTAAATGATAATTATTTAGTTTTAGAATATTTCTAAAAAATAAAATGTTTACCCGCATTTTCCAAAATGTTGCGCATCAAAACGCTACTTTGCCTATGTCTTCTCGCATTGAATGTTCGCAGTGAGTTGCGTTTTGCAAATGTCAGGTGTAAAGAATTTCATCCAGAATTTGCCTCGTTTGAAATATGTCGCATCAAAATGATTCGGAGGGGAGTATCAGCTCTAAATATTCACGTAAAATTACATCAAATTCCGGTGACCAATGTTTCGGTATGAATCGATTGGGCAAGATGACGATTGTCATAAATTTGGTTTTTTTTTTAAATTTTTTAGGTAAATTTATCGTTGTACAAAAAAGCCAACGCTTTTCAGCCGTTTCTCTACAATAACACGGGGGATTTTTGTGCATTTCAAAGGAATCGCAAGCGCATGCCGTTCTTGAATATATTTTTTAATGCCTTTATGAGCACCTCCAACATCAATCACACATGCCCCTTTGATGTAAGTATAGGCGTTGCATTATCGGAATTATCGGTATAATGTCTGATTTGAATTCTCTTACAGCATGATATCATAGTAGAGAATTTGGTACTGAAAGAAGAGATGTTTCGTATGTTGCCAATACCAAATGGTGAATATATGTTTAATTTGAAAGTTGGTGCGTATAACGACTGGAAGGCAGATGTTAAAGTCTACATTGTCACTAGGACCAAATTTGGAGAATAACACTGATGACCTTCAGTTTACGAAGTCAGTCAGACAAAAAGATAATAAAAACATCTATTGCAACTTCTGGACGCAATTAAACATTATGTAAAAAAGTGAGTCTGCAGATAAAATACAGAAAATGGGCTTATACATAATAATAGAAAACCTTCATATGGAGGACCAGAGGACCTTTCAATATATAAGAACAGAGGACCTTCTGCTAGAATACCTGAGGTTATTTATAAGAAAATAAGTTATTTTATAGGAGGATAGAAGGCCTTTTTCTAAAAGATCATAAAATAATTTATAGATAACCATAATGTTTTCTTGTAGAAGACCAGATGGTCATGTTATACAATCCTAGAAGTTTTTATAGGTCTTCTCACAGAAGAAGACAAAAGGGTATTTCTATAGAAGGCCAGTAGGGTCTTTTTATAGAAGATCAGAAGGGTATTTCTATAGAAGACCAGAAGGGTCTTTCTATAGAAATCCAGAAGGTTATTTTTATAAAAGATCAGAAGGGTCTTCTTCTTGAAGACAAGAAGTGTTTTTTTAGAGGACCAGAAGTACTTCGTATAGAAGACAAGAAGGTCTTCATATAGACGACGAGAAGGTCTTCGTATAGAAGACCAGAAGGTCTTCGTTTAGAAGAGCAGAAGTTCTTCATATAGAAGACCAGAAGGTCATCGTATAGAATACAAGAAGGTCTTCGTATAGAAGAACAAAAGGTCTTCGTATAGGAGACCAGAAGGTCCTCTTATAGAAGACAAGAAGGTCTTTGTATAGAAGACCATAAGGGTCTTCGTAAAGAAGACCAGAGGGGTCTTCGCATAAAATACCAGAAGGGTCTTCTCTCATAGAAGACCAGAAGGGTCTTCTATCACAGAAGACCAGAAGGGTCTTCTATCACAGAAGACCAGAAGGTCTTCGTATAGAAGACCAGATGGTCTTCGTATAGAAGACCAGAAGGTCTTCGTATAGAAGACCAGAAGGTCTACGTATAGAAGACCAGAAGGTCTACGTATAGAAGACCAGAAGGTCTACGTATAGAAGACCAGAAGGTCTACGTATAGAAGACCAGAAGGTCTTTGTACAGAAGACCAGAAGGTCTTCGTATAGGAGACCAGAAGGTCTTCGTATAGGAGACCAGAAGGTCTTCGTATAGAAGACCAGAAGGTATTCGTATAGGAGACCAGAAGGTCTTCGTATAGAAGACCAGAAGGTCTTCGTATAGGAGACCAGAAGGTCTTCGTTTAGAAGACCAGAAGGTCTTCGTATAGAAGACCAGAAGGTCTTCGTATAGAAGACCAGAAGGTCTTCGTATAGAAGACCAGAAGGTCTTCGTATAGAAGACCAGAATGTCTTCTCATAGAAGACCAGAAGGGATGGTCATGGTTAAGAAGACAAGAGGGTATTTTATATTAGACAAGAAGGTCTTTCTATAGAAGACCAGAATGGTCTTCTTATATAGAATCAGAAGGCTTGACTTATAGAAGACCAACGGGATCTTTCTATAGAAGACGAGAAGGGTCTTCTCTCATGGAAAACCAGAAGGGTCTTTCTATCACAGAAGACCAGAAGGGTCTTTCTATCACAGAAGACCAGAAGGGTCTTTCTATCACAGAAGACCAGAGGGGTCTTCTCTCATAGAAGACCAGAAGGAGACTCAGAAGGGTCTTCTATCACAGAAGACCAGAAAGGTCTTCTCATAGAAGATCAGAATGCAAGATGGTCTTCAGAAGGGTCTCCTCATTGAAGTTAAGAAGGGTCTTCTCACAAAATACCAGAAGAGTATTCTTATAAGAAGGGTCTTCACTCATAGAAGACGAGAAGGGTTTCTCTCATTAAATACCAGAAGGGGTTTCTCGCATAGAAGACCATAAAGGTCTTTTATCATAGAAGACCAGAAGGGTCTTCCCTCATAGAAACCAGAGGGGTCTTCTCTCATAGACGACAAGAAGAGTCTTTTCTCATAGAAGACCCGAAGGAGTTTCTCTCAAAGAAGACCAGTAGTGTCTTTTCTCATAGAAGACCAGAAGGTTCTTCTCTCATAGAAGACCGGGAGGGTATTCTCATAGAAGACAAGAAGGGTCTTTGTATAGAAAATCAGAAGATCCTCCTTTCATAGAAGACCAGAAGGTTCTCTCTCATAGAAGATCAGAAAGTTCTCTCTCATAGAAGACCAGGAGGGATTTATCATAGAAGACCAGAAGGGTTTTTCTATAGAAAAACAGAAGGGTCATTCTATAAAAGATCCAAAGTGTCTTTCTATAGAAAACCAGAGGGTCTTTTCATAGGAGACCAAAAGGATCTTCTCATAGGAGGCCAGAAGGGCATTCTTACAAAGGACCAAAAGGTCTACTCACAGAAGACTAGAAGGATCTTCTCATAGAAGACTAGAAGATAAAACTCCCAACACTTATTTCAATTGCCACAGGATTTCTTTAACATCTCTTCAGTTTCTCAATAAAAATTAATCAGAATTATATTTTGGATCTTATCATTCACGAGTTTTTCAAATTTAAACCACTTAGGGACCACCAAAGTTGTCTTAGCGCCCATATCAAAACAATATTCTGCACATCATCATCATCTGGATGATTTTTATCCATATGTCAAAACATGATGGTCCGATTGTATGTGTGCGCAGTGTGGCTAAACAAGCTGAGATATGAAGACATCACACCAGTACTTAGTGTAATCAATCCACAATGTGGATGCTGATGATGGCAACAACAACAATGGCCAAGTCTCAAATGTTACAAAAAGCCACCTACGTGTTGCTTGCTGCCTGAACGTGTTAAGATTGCAACAAACACAACATCAGGCGAGTGGTATGAAGAGATACAAAAACTCCAAGAACTATCAACACGTGTGGCCCCTAACAAAAGTGTTCACACACTCGCTGGCTCAGATATTCAAATGCTCAAAAATTCGGTCCCCTTCACCTGATAATCTGCCGTGGAGGGATGAATGCGTTGGACAAAAATCACAACAATTTACCAAGATTCACGTATTTGTTGCATTCGATCGTGACACTGATGTTCATCGTCGTCAGCATCAGCATCATCATCATCATCTGCTTCAGCATGACAACGACCTGGCAGAACCCCCCGTTCAAGATGACGACGACCACGACGATAATCTTGATGAATATTCATGCCTACGTCATTCAAGGTACTTAAGTATGCGCCAATGTCATATTTTGAGAAAAATATCAACATAATGACACAATAACACAAGAGCCAAACAACCTGAGCCCATATCAGAGTACAAAAGGTTAAGTCCATGACATGGACAAAAGGTATCGTCAGCCACCAAGAGAACGCTCCACACAAGTGGCAACCACACACACACACACATACACGTATGAACGAATGGCCAAAATCTGGATCTACATATGGTGCTTAGTGGCAGCATTTTAAGAATAAAAAAATCAAGGGCAAAGGAAAAGTCGCACGATCATCTTTCGAGAATAAAAAAGCAGATCAAGAGAAGGTGATGCCTGAAAGCTGGACAACAGATTCACTAACTACAGCCTCTTAATTTGACACATCACAAGATCAAGTGTCAGTTAAATGTTGCAAATGAAATCTTTGGGCATTCTAAAGAGTGATATCACCGTTTAATCCCCCTTTCGAGGGGAAGGAGGGTTAATAATTTTATTAAGAAAGGATACATTTCTTTGGGGGGAATTCTGTTTAGGCTCTAATGACATGAAATGATATGAAACACCTCACAATGTGTCACGTACGACCAAAAATTATCAAAAAAAAAAAAAAAAAAAAAAAACAATAACAACAGCCGTTTGCACAAATTGTGATCATAGTGTTTATCCCTCTTCGAAAGATTTCCAAAAGTGTCACTGTAATAAAATTTATTTGAGAAGAGGATGTAGGTATGATAAGTTCAGCAAAAATTCTCAAATAATATTGTAAGAGGATTTTGTGAAAAGGTTCAATTACACGTAACATGCAACATTACCGTAGCCATAACCATAACTATAACCGTATACACATTTAATTATTTATTTATTGGCAATTCTCAAAAACAATAAAATCCGTTAAAAATTCTGTTAAAATCTTAAAAATACCTATAGCTGTTATATTGGGGAAGACGATATGGACATGCATAGGTAACTTTCGTCATAAGCCAATACAATATACAAATGCGAAACATAAAAAAAGTCGGGCTTTAGAATACCCTACACCACTTTGCTAATTTAGTTGAGCCCCACATATAAGTTTGATTGGGCCAGAATTTATGTAACACCTCGAAATATTGGTTTCCCATATAGGAAAGTATATATGGATCTTCCTAGCTCGCCGAGCTGAGTCGATCTAGCTATGTATGTCCGTCCGTCCGTCTGTCCGTCTGTCCATCTTAATTTGTAATCACTCTACAGGTCGCAATTATGGCCCGATCTTCACGAAATTTAGAATGGAGGTGGGTCTTAGGTCAGAATAGAACCCTATTTCTTTTGGAGATGATCGCATAATATAGACCAATCGACTTGTAGCTAGAGTTTAGAGCGGGGAAGAAGCCTACCAATTTGGGTGGTCATCGGATAATATTTAGCGGGTAAAATATACCATATCTTTTGTGTTGAAAAAATTCAAAATTTTTCATTAAACCGCGAATATTTTAAATCCCGGCGAAATCACAAAGCCATGACAAGGGTACTTCTGATCTTTACATTGATGTTAACATCCAACAAATCGGATATATAGCGAAATATGTGCGATATATATGTCTATCAAAGAAGATATGCTTGAAAGATCTCTTATATGTCGAGAACGGCTGAACTGATTTCGACAGTTCTCATTAATTCAGAAGGGCCTCTTGGCAGGAAAGGAAAAACGTCTAAAAAATCGCATAAAAATATCTCTCAAAAGTTGAAAATATTAATTTTGTAACATTTTCTCATATTTTTTCAATTTTGTCATATTTTTGGCATATTTTCATTTTGAATTAAACATTTGGTAATATTTCTACGGCTAACAAAACTAAGTAGTTAGGATATCAGGATATCATATACAGATCACATTTATGGCCCGATCCTTACGAAATTTTGCATGGGGATAAGATGAG